AGGCCGGGAGGTTGGCCTGAGTTCGCCTGGTCCCGGTGGAGTGCCGGGTGCCGAATGCAGTTCCCTGCGGTTCTTCCTGGGCCCGGGGTTGGAGCTGGGGCGCTGGGCCGCGGTGTGTGATACAGTGGGTGTGTCGTGACGCTCCGAGCACACGCTCCCAGGCCCGCGGCATGTGGATGTGGGTGGAATATTGGCCCAGACCAGCGGTTCTCAAGCACTTAGTCCCAGGACTCCAGCATGCTTAAATTAGCGAGGACTGCAAAAGCGTTTGTGCAGTTGGCCTATAGCGATCGCTCTGTACCCTGTTAGGGATTACACCAGGACATTTAAACACAACAGCACACAAGCCACCAGAGCCATGACACCGTAACAGGCCATGTGTTCTCCAGAAAACTCCCCTGTACGCGTGTGAGAGCAAAGTGGCAGGTAGTTTCGTTAGAAGCACCTCTCACCGACACCAGAGGTTCCCGGACAGCCCCCGAGTCAGGGGGAGAGGGCTGCTCCCAGCCTCGCTCCTTGTCTTCTCATATCGATGAATTTATACGAGAGACCATGACTGCACTGTGATGAAGCCAGTTTTATTAAAGCAATGGAAGCATGCACCTTCATTAAAGAAGCGAGGCAAGCAGACCTATGCATCTGGCTTGTGAAGGGCAGACGGGCTGTCAGCTGACCTGAAGAGTGAGTTAGGTGGGGGTCTGAGGCATTACATACCCTCCTGTCTATACGTTTCAAATTCCTCTGCTGACTCTTGTGGTGCAGATTAATTCTCAAGGTCCCTTTTTACTTTGCTGTGGCTTTCCAGAATTCATGAGAAGCACTTGGCATTATTATCTTATTAAGCCTTGAGACTGCTGGCTTCTCTGCGGTTCTCAACCTTCTGGCCCTTTAAATACAGTTCCTCATGTTGTGACCCAACCATAAAATTATTTTCGTTGCTACTTCATAACTGTAATGTTGCTACTGTTATGAATCGTAATGTAAATATCTGATATGCAGGATGGTCTTCGACCCCTGTGTTCGACCGACAAAGGGGTCGCGACCCACAGGTTGAGAACCGCTGCTCTAGGCTCTGCTGGTCTACTCTGTCCTAGCCATAAACTCAGCCCTTTCTCTAGGATCCCTGGTTCCTTTCCATAATCCCGCCAAAGGGGTTGCGACCCACAGGTTGAGAACCGCTGGCTTAGGGAGTAAAACTGCCCCTTTTCCCTTTCGCCCCCCCACCCCTTTCTGCATTCTCTCCTTAGGGGGGTGTTTAACCATTTGCTCTGGACCAGCAGAGTGTGTGGCGGGGACAGAAATGGTCTGGCTCTCAGAGCCCTGAATGCTCACTGTCTGGCCCTTTACGGAAAACGTTGGCCGCCCGTGGCCTAGCCCATGAGACACGGTTGGCTGTTTTGGGAGGCACGTTAGGATGACATGCAGTGGCAGGGCATGTGCCACAGTCCCCTGTGCGTGGGAGAGGCTGCGCCCCGAGGTGTGTCCCCCACACACGTGCTGTTACAGAATCTTCTCTGCCATGGTGCTTCCCTTCCACGGCCTTCCGGGGTGAGCTGAGTCCTGGGAGCGAGGCCGCAGCCAGGGGCGTGTCAGAGCCCATGTGGGTGTGGTGAGGGGCTGTGGCAGCAGGGAAGACAGTCCTAGCCCCCTGTCCCCACCACACATGCTGGCCACTCTGCTTCCCAGTCCCCTGACCTGGTCCTTGAGGCAGGTGACCGGGAACTAGAAGAGCATGTGGTTCCTTGAGGCATGTAGGGGGACACGCATACGTGCACGACCAGCCTAACACAGCCCGTGTCCGCAGAAACCACACGTGTGTCCCTGTGAATGGAGAGAGCGCTGTGTGCCTGTGCGACATGCTGATGGACCTCATAGTCAGTGGGGACACCTACCAGCTGGACCTGTGGGCTGGGAAGCAGTGGCTGTGGAGTGGCTCCTTCAAGCCCAGCGAGCATGGTGAGTGGGGCGGGGCGGGTGCTCTAAGCCCCGGCCCTGGGTGGGCCAGGCTGGCTCCAACTGGGTGAGGGGCCCAAGCAGCCTTTCCTTAAACTCGATGGGGTTCTTGCCCTGTCTGGGCCTTAGTCCTCCCCTCTTTGAAATGGGGTTGGGCTCAGCAGCACCAGGCCCCTTCAGCTCAGACATCTCAACCCCCCGAATGTGAGTGCCCTGACTGGGTGTTGAGCAGGCTGCTTGGTGGAAGGCGTGCTTGCTGCAGACCGGAAACTGAGCTGTGAACTGTCCTCCACCCTCCCTCGACTGCTCAGCTGCTGCTGCTTCACACAGTCCATGGAAGGCTGACCTATGCCGCTGCCTGGAGCCCCTGCAGGCATTCCCCAGGAGCTGGCTGGGGGTGGTGACAGGTGTTCAAAACACCATTTAGAATAGAACATGGCGGTGGGCAGGTCTGGAGTGAGGGTGAGTGTGTGAGTGGGAGAGTGTGTGTGGGAGGGCACCTGTTTGTTTTTTGTTTTTTTACAATAAATTTTAAAGAGAGAGGAAAGAAGAGGGAGAGAGAGATAGAAACATCCATGATGAGAGAGAATCATTGATCAGCTGCCTCCTGCATGCCCCCTATTGGGGATCAAGCCCACAACCTGGGCATGTGCTCTGACTGGGAATCGAACCAGGTCCTCCTGGTTCATAGGTCTATGCTCAACCACTGAGCCACGCCGGCCAGGCAGAGGGCCTCTGTTGGAGCGGGAGCTTAGGCGGTGACTGGGGCAGTCCAGGCAGAGGAGCTGCCACTGCAGTGTGCTGCTTGTCCGGGCACTTCTCTCCACTTCAAGGGAGGGTGTGTCATTTTGAGGGAGCCTCAGGGTCCTCTGTGGGAGGAGGCTGTGGGGGTCGACTTTGCCCCAGTGCCTCTAGGCCACTGAGGGATGCTCACAGCCCCACTGCCGAGACCTGAAGTCCCTGGGCACACAGACGAGTCATATCGGCTCAGTTAGCCTGAACTGTGCACCTTGGAGGACCGGCTGGCTGACCCATCTGGCAGTGTGCTGGGCCTGCCCTGCTATATTGGTGAACAGGGCATCTGGCCTGCCCAGCCTCCTTCTGGGTAGAGCGACAGGCTGGCCCCGCTGGTGAATGGGGCACCCGACCAGCTTGCCCTCAGGGAGCAGAGTCAGTACCCAGCTGGTGCTGCCTCCTCCACAGGCCTTCTCGCCTCATTAGCAGTGAGTGCTCAGCCTGCCCCAACCCCTCTGTGAGCAGAGAGACCGGCCTGCCCCACCATAGAGGTGAGTGGGACACCAGTCTGCCCTCTGTACCAGCAGAGCAACCCCTGGTCTGACCCTCTGCCCTCAACAGCAGAGTGCCTGGCCCGCCCCACCATCTGACATGGGCCCAGCCTGGACACAGGGACCTGCTGCCCCGAACCAGCACGCCCAGCCCAGTGCCCTCGGATGACTGGCCCCACCGCTTTGACATGGTGTGCCCAGCCCTGTCATCGTGACCCACTGTGTCTTACCTGGCAACCCTGGGCAAATGGCCTCACTGCCTGACATTGCCTGGTAGACATGACCTGATGCATCCTGGACACATGGACTTGCCACAGAGACCAGATGCGCCTAACCTGGTGCCACCAGAAGATCGGACGCTGCGACTCGGTGGGACCAGTCACCTCTGAACACATGGACTTGCTGCTGTGAACCCACCCTCCTCACCTGGCTCCCCAGACTACCGGACTGCTAATATGGAAAGACAAAGAAACAACCCCCAAATGAAAGAAAAGGAACTAAATGAAATGGAGGCAAGTAATTTGTCAGATAAAGAGTTCAAAGTCATGGTTATAAGGATGCTCAAACATCGGAGTGAGAATTACAAACAACACATTGCGTACTGCATAGAAATCTCTAAGACATACGCCAGGGACCACACGTTTTGGGGCAAACTGCACGTTATTTAAATCATCATAACTACAGATCATAATGCACTTTAGGTGTTGTTTTTCAATAATTATAACATTTTTATTTACTTAAACAATTAAACAATTAAAGTTCCTAGTACTTTTTTAACGTATGGTACTGCGTAAAACATTTTCCTCTATGAAGAGGGACCAAACAAAATTTACATAAGTATCTAGATTCGCTCCTTTTTCCATGGGCCGCACAAACTCTGCAGGCTCTCGTAGGACATTTTTTCTTTCCACTCGCTGGAATACACGTAGGTTCATGGTGCTTCATATCACCTGACAACCTTTTGGGTGGATCTTTACAAGGTGCTCTCCTTGCACCCCCAGGGGAAGGGCTGGACAGATTTGTCTCTGGTTCTGGAGAGCCTTCGTTATTGTCATCCGTTATCCAGTCTCTCGCCACCGATAGCAGAAACTGTTTATACTTCATTTTTGCTTGGGGGTTGAGGACGTTGTACACTCTAAATGAATTGAAAAGTCCACAGTTTATAAGGTACAGCACTACTTTTTTTGTCCATTTCATCGTTTTCCTTAAAATGGAACAACACGAAAGGAAGTATATCAGTTTCGTTGGTTTCCTTCCTTTTTCTGAGAGAGGGCATTTCTAAAAGCACCAGGAACTTGAAGACGAAGACTATTCGAATGACCAAAATACAATGTAACTGCAATGCTTTATGGGTTCGTGCAATTATATAGTTTTTCGTAGATTGACCTTCACGGTTTCCACCAATGAGATCGCTTCATTCGATGTGGACAAGACAGTGTGTTGACATCTAAGGTCCATAACAGATGGCGCGTGAAAAACGAGAAAACTCGTGAGCGGTACGAAAGGTGTTAATGAGAATTATAGGAGCTAAATGAGAAATATACCAACATGAATAAGAATCAAGAGGAAATGAAGAATGATGTAGCTGTAATAAAGAACACACTGGAAGGTTTCAACAGTAGACTAGAAGAAGCTGAGGACCGAATCAGTGAGTTAGAAGACAAGGTAGAAAAAAACCACCCAATCAGAGCAGCAATTTGGAAAGAATAATTAAAAAGCAGGAGGAGAGCCCAGTCAGTGTGGCTCAGTGGTTGAATATTGACCTATGAACAATGAGGTCGTGGTTTGATTCCCAGCCAGGGCACATGCCTGGGTTGCTGGCTCAATTCCCAGTGTGGGGTGTGCAGGAGGCAGCCAATCAATGATTCTCTTTCATCACTGAGTTTCTATCTCTCCCTTTCCCTTCTTCTCTGAAATCAATATATATTAAAAAAGAAAAGAAAAGAAAAGCAGAAAGAGACTTTAAGGGAGCTTTGGGACAATATGAAATGAAACAACATCCTCATCATAGGGGTGCCAGAAGGAGAAGAAGCTGAGCAAGGAATAGAAAATCTGTTTGAAGAAATAAGGTCAGCAAACTTCCCTGACTTGGTGAAGAAAAAAGTCACATAAGTTCAGGAAACGCAGAGTCCCAATCAAGATGAACCCCCAACGATCCACACCAAGACACATCATAATTAAAATAGCAAACATTAAAGACAAAGAAAAAATCTTAAAGGCTGCAAGAGAGAGACAGAAAGTTACCTACAAGGGAGCTTCCATTACACTATCAGCTGATTTATCAGTAGGAACACTTCAGGGCAAAAGGGAGGGGCATGAAGTATACAAAGTAATGAAAAGCAAGGGACTGAGTCCAAGACTACTCTATCCAGCAAGGCTATCACTCAGAATTGAAGGTGAAATTAGGAGCTTTGCAGACAAAAAAACAACAACAAAACAAAACAAAACAAAAAAACTAAAGGAATTTATTACCACTAAACCAGCAATGCAAGAAATGCTAAAGGGACTGTTGTAAGAAGAAGAGATAGAAAGAGAGGGAGAAACACAGGCATAAAGAATTAAAATGACAACAAACAAGTACCTATCAATAATAACCTTAAATGTAATTGGATTAAATGCTTTAATAAAAAGATATAAGGTAGCTGAATAGATAAGAAAACATGACCCATATATATACTGTCTACAAGAGACCCACCTCAGAACAAAAGACTCACACAGAATGAAAATGAAGGGATGGGAAAAATTTTTCCATGCAAATGGAAATGGAAAAAAAGGAAAGCTGGAGTAGCAATACTCATATCTGACAAAATAGACTTCAAACTGAAGGCCATAACAAGAGACAATGAAGGCCATTTCATAATACTAAAAGGATCGACACAACAAGAGTACATAACCCTGGTAAACATATGTGCGCCCAATATAGGAGCACCTAAATATATAAAAACACTTCTAGAGGACTTTAAGGGAGAGATTGACAGCAATGCAATCATAGTCGGGGACTTTAACACATCAATGACATCACTGGATAGATCTTCTAGACAAAAAAATCAACAAGAAAACAGGAACCCTAAACGACACACTAAATCAAATGGATTTAATAGACATTTACAGAACATTTCACCCCAAAGATACAAAGTATACATTCTTCTCAAGTGCACCAGGGACATTCTCAAAGACAGACCACATGTTAGGATGCAAGCTAAGTCTCGACAAATTCAAGAGGATTGAAATCATATCAAGCATCTTCTCGGATCACAATGGTGTGAAACTAGAGATCAACTACAACACCCCTCCCCCGCCCCCCCAAAAAACAAAACAAACCACCCACATTCAAACACATGGAGGCTAAATAGCATGTTATTAAACAATGAATGGGTCACCAACAAAATCAAGGAAATAAAAAACTTCCTGGAAACAGATGAGAATGAACACACACAACCCAAAGCCTATGGGACACAGTGAACGCAGTCCTGAGAGAGAAGTTCCTAGCACGACAGGCCTACCTCAAGAAACAAGAAAAATGGCTAATAAACTCTCTAACACTACAACTTAAAGGTAGAGAACGAGAACAACAAGAAAAGCCCAGAGTAAGTAAAGGAAGGAAATAATAAAGATTAGAGCAGAAATAAACGACAGAGACTAAAAAAAAATACAAAAAAATCAATGAAACCAAGAGCTGATTCTTTGAAAAGATAAACAAGATTGATGCACCTTTAG